TTTGAAATACAACACACCTTCAGCACCCACAGACTTTAGGAACCATTTTATATAGGGACCTGGGAGACCCTTGAATGCGTCAAAACCAAGGCCTGTGTCTTCAACAAGGACCGGACCGTCAACACGCTCAGCAGCAAAGCGGCACTTTGAAATCGCAATGTCCTCGGCAGTGCCTTGATACTCCGGCAAATCGATTTCAAGGCATTTGAACTAGAGGATGCAAAAGCAAAGTATGAGCAGTCGACTTAAAATGCAACAACAGCGCACATCCGAAAAGCGGACATGATGCTGCATACAAAACCAGCTTACCAAGGGGGTATAGCTTTCACCCAGAATTTCCAGCGTTTCACGCAGTTTATTCGGATTGCTTGTAATGTATGTGATGATATGGTGGGATGCATCGGTTTGTACAGGATCCCCAGTTGGGTGTGACTTTACACAATTCTGGCATTGCCATGCATGCCCGGCCTTTGAGGAGAGTTTAAATGCCTCAGGCGTTAAGTCAGAGCAGGTGGGGTGGAAAGCACCCTTGCAAGTAGAACAGAATATCACTTCCTCTGTGACTGGATATTTACAGCCTTTGCGAGCACATGATGTAGCAGTTACTTGAGAGCACATCACTAACTAACAAAGAACTAAAAAAGAACAGAAAGCAAGAAATCAAATAATGCAGGACAGGTGTAGATCGCTTCACGGAACAACAACAAAACACAATTCCGGGTGGCAAAATACTAAAAAAAAGGACAAAACACAATCTCCAGTTCAAAATTTTTCTTAGTTCACTGGAACTACGTTCACAGTCAGCGAAATCACGCGCGTACAACTTGTACTTGGTATAGCTACGATGAAGCCTGATCTCACCGGTTTCGATAATCTCCCGAACCTTACCTCTCCACACGTGACGATTCGCGGCAGCAGAACTGGAGAGCTCAACCAATTTTCTTCGCCGCACATTGAAAGAACAAGAACTACTTCTACGTTCCCACGAACGGTTTCAAGTCAGGTTCTAAGCGGACACCTCCATTGGGCAAGTGTGCCGGATCGAGGGCTGACCTCGCAAAGTAGGCGCGGCTTTCGAATTTGAGCCACCCATTTTTTTGCTCTCCATTTACGTGGGAATTTATTATCCTATACCATGCTCTCTAATCCTCTGCTTTGTTTGTTTGCATTTGTGATCATGAGGTCATATCGACAGTACACTGCTACTTTTTAAATGCACGAAAAAAAAGTTATTTTACCTACAACATATCACCATCCCAATATTTGTCAAATGCGGCC